CACATGAAGTTCGAAAAATAATTTTGTTATCTAGTGCCTTCTTTTTTTATTTTTTTCTAAATTTTTTTTGGTGTGCAATTCGAGATGATTTTTTTCAGCAGATCATCGCACATTACATCGATGGAAGCGCTTTCGGAGATGGAGTGAATGCATGTAAGTGAAGCAAAAAAACTTTTAAATTTTATTTTTTTTTGCACTTAATTTCCGAGAAAATCAAAAGAGAATGGCCTAATAATAATTTAATAGATAATTTAATGTCGCGTTTGAGAGCAAAACGCTAAGAGAATAATCTATTTCAAGTGAGCGTTACAACTTTCGCTAAATGAATTAAAAATTTAAATGAATTTTTGTCGAACAAAAAAAAAAAAGAAAGGAATAAGTTTTACTTTTACAAATTTGGGTCATAGACCAAATTAGAACCTCACCTAGAAAAATTCTTTATCTATGTGTAATATAAATTTTTTATTAATTTTCTTTTCTTTTCTAAAAAAAAAAATGTTTAATGGCTAAGAAAAATTTCGATTTAACTCCCCAATTCACCACAAAAATAAATATGTGTAACGAACTTATAATTATGTGCTAATTTGCCTTATTTATGTTGGAGCCATGCGTCGTCGGAATGTTAGGGTAATGTAATCTGTGTTGTTTTAGGGATCACCGACCATTTGTCTGGTCAAGCGGCCCCGGTGATCATGGTAGGGTGGGCAACAGCTGTCGCATTGATACCAGCGCAGCATAACAACAACATATACAGCTACGGTCCCTAATGAATCTAATACAATTTCAGTAACTCTTTGTTTGTGTCGGGCGCTCCCGACTAGAACCTCTTACTTGTTTTTCAATTGATAATGTCAACAAGCCCGCGGAGTACTGGGATGACGTTATTTTTTGTGACGAGACAAAAATAATGTTATATTATTATGACGGACCCAGTAAAGTTTGGAGAAAGCCCAATACAGCTCTGGAACCGAAGAATATAATACCAACAGAAAAGTTTGGCAAGCTTTCGGTAATGGAGTGGGGCTGCATATCGTCGAAAGGTGTTGGTGAGCTGCGCATTTTCAATGTTGTGATGACGAAAGAGTTTTACTTGGACATTCTAAAGAATGAATTGTCAAGGAGCGCAATAAAGCTTGGCTTCGAAGACCCCCAAAACGCCAATAAACAGAGGTACAAGCTTTATCAGGCCAAACACAAATCATTTTTGTGTATAATTGTATAATTGCAGCGGTCATTGAAAATTCAAAATTTGTGGGCTTTCTTAAAAAAGCGCGTAGGGAAACGGAGCCCAGCTAATAAAAACGCACTCATTAAGGCCATTCAAGAAGAATGTATAAAAATACCGGAAATGTATTACCTGAATAACCTTATTCAGTCAATGTCTCGTCGTCTGCGGTCTGTAATGGATGCTAATGGCCAATATACCAAATATTAGTACCACAATAGCCATAGTTTCCTGGATTTAGTTATATATATAGTAATAGTTTGCATTTTGCAAAGAATTAATTGACAGCGCAAAGATTGCCTCATAATTATTTAATTTTCAAATATCACAGACATATGTTATAGGTAGATTTAAATGTTTACTTAATATTAGTCAGAAAGAGTAGTTTTTGCACTGATCACGCCAATCTGCCCATTTTCTAAGACGACATGCCTCTACAATGCCCTTATATGCTAATTGCGTTATTTGACAATTTTCTATATCTTCTAAAACGTATCAGTCATAAGGGAGCACCTTTTTAATACAATATGGACCTTTGTACTTAGCAATAAATTTCTTGTTTGTGCCAATGGTGGTATCAATGTTTCTCATGACTACAAAGTCTCCTGCACAGAATTTTATTTGATTTTTATGATTTTTCTCAAAATAAACACATTTGCGTTGATCATTTTCTATTTTGTCGGAAGCCTTCTTGCGAATATTTATTAAATTAGGACTATCAAGATTATGGTTTTCATCTAAATATTCAGTTAATGTGTCTACTTCACTGCCTCTCTGCTGAACTCCGAACAATAAGACTGAAGGTATATCCCCTGTTCCAGAATGAATAGAATTATTTATAGCATATTCAGATTTTCTCAATAACTTACATTAATCTGAATGTTGAGTTGGCTCAGTTATTTTTGCTAACATGGATTTTAAGGTTCTATTTACTCGTTCAACTTGACCATTTGCTTGGGTGGATGCTGTGGCTATCTTTATATGCTCTATGTTGTTTTTCAATATAAAATCACTAAACTCTCAAGATGTAAAGCAAGAGCCTATATCACAAATTATTCGGCGTGGTCGGATGTAGTTTTCGAAATATATTTAAACATGAGCAAACTTCTTTTGTGCTAGTAGTGTTTGCTGAGAATAATTTGACAAATTAAGTGAAACCATCGATGACCACTAAAATGTGCTTTTTTATACCCTTGCAGAGGGTATTATAATTTTGTCGTGAAATGTGTAACGCATAGAAGGAGACTTCTCCGACCACATAAAGTATAGATATTCTTGATCAGCATCAACAGCCGAGTCGATAGAGCCATGTCCGTCTGACCGTCTGTCCGTTTGTCTGTTTCTATGCGCACTAGTCTCTCAGTTTTAAAGCTATCTTAATAAAACTTTGCAGAAGTCCCTATTTCTGTTGTACATATGTGAAAACCAGCTGGATCGGACCACTATATCGTATAGCTGCCATAGGAACGATCGGTCGAAAATTAAGTTTTTGTATAAAAATAAACATTTTGTTTTTCAAGATATCTCGACGAAACTCGGCATTTATTAATTTTACTATACTACTCATATATATGCAAAATCCTATTAAGATCGGACCACTATATCATATATCTGCCATAGGAACGATCGGTCGAAAACTAGGTTTTTGATTAAAAACCGTTTTTGTTTATCAAGATATCTTGACCAAACTCGGCATTAACTATTTTCCCTGTGCTTCTTAGATACGGGCAAAGCACTATAAGCATTATGAAAAGGTTGTGTCTGCAAGGGTATTAGATCTTCGGCGTGCCGAAGATAGCCTTTCTTTCTCGTTTTTAGAAATAATGGACGGAAGTGGTCCAAAATGAGCAATGTGCAATGTGTCAAATGGTACTGTGTGTTTGGGTATACTGTGCAATGTTCTATTATTTGAATGCGAGAGGGTAGTGAACATTATACACTTTAAGCAGTTTTGTATAAAAGATTCAACTTTGGGAGTTATATTTGGGAGCCAATAATGTTTCTTAATTTCATTTACATGCTTTTCTATTCCGAGATGACACAGCTTTTCATGTACTGTTCTAATTAAATTAATTTTCATTTCTTCTGGAACTTAGAATAATTATATATTATTTTCTAATCTCCTATAAACAATGGCTTACTCTAATGTGAAGTTCATATTTAAACTCTTCACTCAATAATGTATATCTGCTTAAAGCATCAACATGTGTCATATATTTGTTCTATAGTGTAATTATAATTTTCGAGTTGTAAAGCCCATCTAGCAAATCTAGCATTAACACTCTTACAATTCAAGGTTAATGCCAATGAGTTACAGTCTGTGATAATCTTAAACGGAATTCCTTCTAAATAATTCCTTAACATGTTCAACGAATAAATAATAGCTAGAGTTTCAAGTTCAAAACTATGATATTTCTTTTCAGCTGCTGTTGTGGCTTACGAAAAGTATTATATTGGATGAAACTTGTTGTCAGACTGTTTTTGAAATAAAACTCCTCCTTCAGCACTCGCATCGCAATGTAGTTCTGTTTCCTTATTTGGGTTGTACAGGGGCAGAAAGTCTTTCCCGTAAAAATTAAAAAAAAACGCGACATTTCTCAATAATTTCATATTTGGCATTTAGTTTGACTAATTCATTATAAAGCGTCTAAAATAAGAAAATAATATTTCAATAGAATTTTTCGGAACTGGGAGGTGCCTAATTGCAGTTATGTGTTCATTATTAGGGCTAATTCCACGTTTGTTTACTGAGTAGCCTAAAAATTTAATACACGTAAAGTAAGATAAACATTATCTTAATTTTATTTCCAACCTATATTCTGCTAAAAGCCTAAGTACTCTACTGAGCGTTTCTAAATGTTCTTCAATCGTTTCTGCTCCTATAGCAATATCATCTATATATACAATAACATTCCCTTCACGAATTAATGGTTTTAACTTAAAGTTTATAAATCTTTTGAAACACTGCTGGTGCATTCCGAAGTCCGAATGGCATCTTGACATATTCGTACTGGCCCCTCGGAGCAACAAAAGCGGTATCGAATTTTCAGCCATTTTAACCTGATGAAATCCAGATGTCAGGTCCAATAGTGAAAAGTATTGTTTGCCTTCCATTCTCTCCAAACAATCCTTAATAAGCGGAAGAGGATATCCAATCTTTAATAGTTAATTTATTAAGCTGCCTATAATCTGTGCACATTCGCTTTTCACCGGTATTCTTCCTTAAAAGAACTATTTCAGATGTATAAAGAGATTCACTTAGCTTAATGTGTCCTTTAGTTAATAAGTCTTCTACTATTTTATCAACTTCTTTTCTATCTTGGTATGACAGTCTTCTTGGTGTAGAATAAATTGATCCTTCAGACTGCAGTTTAATAATCATTTCATTATTATGCTTAATAGGTGCAATATTTTCTAATTCCAAATAATCAGTATTAATCAATTCAAAAATTCTATTTTGATAGTCTACACTTAGTTTTGGATCAATATTAGTTTCTTCTCTGTCAATATTTAATATATTTCTGTAAATATTTTCTATTTTTAAGAGATCATGGTTGCTCTTCATAACGTTATCTATTCTTACTAATTCTACACCGTCGCTGGCAGTATTTAATCTCTTTTTACCAATTCTTAATATTTCAGAGGGATCACTGTCACTATTCAATCTGTTTTCACTAAAGTTCGATGCAATCACAACATTTGGCAATGCTTTGCAAAAAATACAACGACAATTAGGTAATTCTATTTTGTTTACTTCATTTTGTATTGTTCTTTCAATTTTAGTTATCTGGGACAACGTAAAACAATGAATTTTTATCATTTTATCAAACTTCACGTAAAGATCAATTTTTCCAAATGTTAATAATTGAGATCCATTAATACCACGAAATTTTTGTGGTACTTCTCTTATTGGGCACAGTAGAGCGTCGAATAAGGTTAATGGAACTTCCGGTGTCTCCTACCTTCTTTGTTATCGGTACAGCTAGATGCTCGTCATCGCTCATCTGTGGGTTGCTGGTTACACAACGCAAACATGAGCCCTCTGCACGTATGGGCTCATTACATGAAGAAGCATAGTGACTAAACCTAAACAAGTGTAGCAGGGTAACTCGTGTATGCCACTAACATTGGATAATGCTTGGGCGGTCAGCACAGCTTGTCTCGTCGGAAGACGGAGAGTTTTGTTGCGCAGTTTAACATACCTATGCGACAGATCCTTGAGGTCGTTAATTGTTTGGGCAGAATATAATTTAGCAATACTAGGTGAATTGTCCTGCATGCCATCTATTATCATCTTAACAGTCTGCTTCTCATCAATGGTAGCACGTGATGCGATTTCCTGCATCTGAAGTATATATCCCATGACAGAAAGCTTGCGTGGAAGATACACTGTTGACTTCAATAATGGGATGATTTCTGTCACTGACTGTTGATATCTGAAGGTCCTCAAAAAATTGAATTTAAGATCGGAATAGGTTGCCGACTGATCAGCGCGTATAAACAAATCACCTTCCACTTATGCACATCGTACGTCTCCGATTTAGCAAACGGAACAATGCTGCACAGAATATCTCTAACGTCGTTTCTAGAATTGTTGTCCGAATTATTTAAGTTTTCTGTTAATTCCGTCAACATCTTTTTCTTCTTAACTATTCTAATGGCGGCATCCAATTCATCTTTTTCTGTTAGTGTGTTAGCGTACAAAATTTTTCCATTTTCGAATTTTACGATGTACAGGCTTCAATGACGGTGACGTCACCCTCAACGTCTGACAACTGCGATTCAGTAGTGCAACAATGTCAGTTTTTTTCAAATATTGTAGGTCGTTGTTGGATTATTTATCTGACTTCTGAAGTTATTACGATGCCACAATATGCTTTTATTGGTATTTCTCTGACAATATTTTACTAAAGTCGTCTTGCAACTTCATACGCCAAATCTCGAGTGTCGATCACATGCTTATCGGTATCTTATGTTATCGGGAAATACAACCGTGGCAGAACATTGGAACTAATACTAAATATCGTAAGTAATTACTATAGAACTATTAGATTCACTTATAATTAAATAATATCATAACCATACAAGGCTACTAGGCTTGCCCCTCACTTCTCATCAGATGATGTAAAAGCCTTTATACAGGCAAAAATTCAAGCCCCAGGTATAATGGTGGAGAAATTTAAGTTCGCTTATGAAAGGGATATTGCGTCCTTTAAAATAAGTGTCCCGCCAGAAATATTTACTGATATTTGTTGTAAAGAGTTTTCGTCGGAACACTTAATAGTAAGAGAATATAAGGCCAAAAAGTAAAGCCGGACAAGTCAGGCTCTTAAATTTTTACCTCCAAATACACCACTTACATATGTGATCGAGTTTCCCGTATCGGAGGAGGAATACTTATAGCTGTCGAGTCTGCTCTTTCGCCAGAACGCATTGATCTTCCCATCTCAGAGATTGAGATGGTGGCTGTTAGAGTTGTATTTGGAAATTTTTCTATCTTTATTTCATGTTCTTATATACCCCTCTATCTAACTTGTCCACCTGGATGGGTTAATGCTATTAAGTCTATATCGTCCCTACTTTCTGATAGAGACCTTTTAATAGTTCTTGGGGACTTCAATCTTCCAGATGTCGAGTGGTCATTGCCATCAAACTCAAACTTTCTGTTGCCATCTTCGTCAAACGAATTTATTGATGGATGATCTACATGAAATGTCCTTACGGCGGGTTAATCGTGTGCGCAACTCAAGAAACAGATATCTTGATCTAATTTTCGTGTTGGATTCGTTCAACCGTGTTGTGCACAGGATCAATCCGCTTACATTTCCTGAAGACCTTTTTCATCCAACTCTAGAAATGGTCATTGATTTACCAGCCCGAGTCCCTATCAAGGAATCGGAAGTAGCTTAACGTATGCGTTGTTTCCGAAAGGCTGATTTTCATAGGCTAAATTATCTTATTCTGCAAGTCGACTGGTCTCAACTGTACAATTGTGCAGACTTTGATGTTGCCGTTAAACTTTTCTATGATACGTTGTTCTCGATTTTTTAATTCTACGGTCCTCTTGATCACCCAGCGACGCCTGATAGGCCTCCCTGGTTCTCAAATGAACTTATGAGGTTAAAAAACGTGAAGTCGAGGTGTTATAAAAAGTTAAAGGAATCGGAAAATCATTCTGATTTCTCACGTTATGCAGTTGCCCGATCGAATTTTTCCACTCAAAATTCCATCTGTTATAAGGATTACATTCGGCGTTGTCGCCTCCAATTTTCACATAAGCATAAGCAATTTTTCAACTTTGTCAATTCTGAACGAAAGACATCTATTTTGCCTTCTTCGGTTAAGTTTGCATATGCAAGCAGATTGGCATAGCCAATCTGTTCGCAAACTTTTTTCAAACTACCTACTCTTCCTCTAGGTGAAATAAAAATCAGCCTTATCATTATTACCGAAAATTTGCTTCTTAGCGACCTTAACACTATCAAGACGGTTTACTCACCGGTGGTGGTGTTCCTGCTTGCGTGCTTAGATACTGCGCAGCAGCATTATGTAAGCCTGTTTTACTTTTTGAAATGTCATCTTTGTCGACCATTTGGAAGAAATCATAAATTATCCCTCTCCATAACAAAGGCAGTATCCGCTATACCTAAAGCTTTTGAGAGAATTATAACATCTCAACTGCAACACTTATGTAATTCTATTATTTCACCTTTTCAGCATGGGCTGGTGAAGCGTAGATCTACAACCACCAACCTTCTTGAGTTTACTTCGTTTGTAATTGATGGGCTTAAGAAAAGAATGAAGCCTGACGTCATCTATACTGATTTCAGTAAGGCTTTCGACCCTGTCAACCACTCCTTGCTGTTTATAAATTATTTTCTCGGCTTCCCAGTCAATCTTTTGAGCTGAATTTCAGAGTATTTGCGTGATAGAACTCAAAAGGTACGTTTCAGAAATTCGTTTTCTAACTTCCTCAAGGTAGTCATCTTTGCCTGATACTCTTTACTCTTTTCATCAATGACCTTCCCTCAATACTCTCGAGTATTAGGTTCTAGTCGGGAGCTCCCGACTAGGGGATACCCTGAATCCTCTTCTTCCAACATCAAATGGATATATATATTCTATTTTAGAAGCTATATGTCAAGTTTGGTGACTCTAGCTCTTATTATTTACCGAAATTGCCCAAAAAACAAGATATCGATATTGATTTTTATCGATTGCTTGGAAACGGAGTAAGTTATCGATTATCGGAAACAAATTTGATCTGCGCGGGAATTAGGAGCACCCTCATCTAAAATTTCAAGTCTCTAGCTCTTATAGGTTCTGCGATCCTTGAGTTCATACATACGGACGGACGGACGGACGAATGGACAGACAGACGGACATGGCTAGATCGACTCATTTGGCTTTCGCACAAATACAATATACCCTTTCACCCATTTTTAATGGGTTCAGGGTATAAAAAATATCATACATCTGCCATAGGAACGATCGGTCGAAATCTAGATTTTTGATTAAAAACCTTTTTTGTTTATCGAGATATCTTGACAAAACTCTGCAATAACTATTTTCCCTGTGCTACTTAGATTCGGGCAAAGCACTATGATCAGTATGAAAAGATTGGGTCTGCAGGGGTATTAGATCTTCGGCTCGCAAAAGATAGCCTTTCGTTCTCGATTAAATCTTGAATTGCTGCTTTCGACTTGAAAATTTACCCCTGGGAAATTTTGGAAACTTGTATTTTGCTGCTAATTTGTAATGTTAATAACTGTTATATGCTAGAAATGTTCATGACCTACTGAATAGCTGAAGAAGTGAACTTAATGACCGATTTAGTTCACGGCCAGAAAATGAAAATGAAATGAAGTTATTCAGCAAACTGAGCTAGAAATCACCACTCTAATGCCTATCGTATTTTTGTTTGTTATTTTCTCCTTGATTTAGGAAATGAAAATTTGTGGGACAATTGCAATTTATTTTCTTGTAGTATTTCTGCGTCTTGTTCGGTGTTGATCAAAAAGTCTTTTATTGTAAATATGTAAATCAGCGAAAGAAGTGATTGCCTAGGGAAGCCGGTGTTGTCAACTCATCGTACCAGACGATGCTTGGCGGTCTCCCACAGACCTCCGAAATGGGGCACGCTCGGTGGAATGAAAATCCGTATGCCTTGTTGAACGCTACCTGGAAATCCTTCAGTACGTTCGCTGCTCTCACGAAGTTGGTGATTTTGTCGCTGCACCCCTTCTGAGGGAAACCTCGTCTACCGATGAAATAAATAAATACAGACAAGGAGCAGTCAGTAGAAAGATCTGCAAGAAGTTTTAGGCGAACTACCTTAGACGCAAAACAAACAAATAGAGATACATAAGTTTTTATTTTGGCTTTCACATAAAATCGGCTACAGAAATCTACACCACAAACTAAGATAGGGCGAGATTCACGCAGTCAATAAGCTGGTAATTGCCCATGATTTGGCCTTGCAGTTTTGGTCTGTACCGGTAGCAGTGCTCAAATCTCTGAACAATTTTATTGCATGATTCTCAAGCATTATTAATCCATAGTTGCTGTCGTAGAATAGAGACCATAACTTTGACGCCGGCATGATAATTCCTTGGGTGAATGTTTCAAAGAAATTACTCGACAAAATGAGATTTTCGAGACAGCAATATAAAAAACATATGCTGCTGCATATGATATGGATGCACTTAGCAATCTTAAACCAACGCGAATGATTTTGAAATTGAATTTAACAAATGATTGTAAAAATGAGTAAAAGACAGAGTCTTTGTACATTTGGACCCCTTAACATCGATACACTGACGTGCATACCCACCCTTGCATGACTCTACATCCAGGCCAAACTGAATATAGTTATTGACAGGATCCCTAAAGCTAGTCCTGATTTGGCAAAATTACACCCTTTAAGCGATGGCTTCAAAAGAAGTGAACTATTTACTTAGTCATTAAAATAATTTAGTTTAAAATGGCAAGTAAACATTCCTAAGCAAATCGACTGAAACTCATAAAATAATAACATTGTGACCTAACAAAGAATTGGCAAGCGTAGGGAGGGACTATAATAGTGATTTATACGATACGAAAATAGTTAAAATATTAATATAAAAATATGAGGATGCTTATGGTTTTCCTAAGTTAGTTATAAATTATAAAATCATGATTAGAACGTTTATATATGGAAAAGAAAAAAACCTTGTTTCTGCGGTAGCAGCGCTGTCGACGACAGCTGTTGGGCATCCGGTGCCATGTTGGTTACGTAGAAATTGATTTCGTTAGCTGGGGCTATTGAGTTACTTTGGGAATGGTCGCGTGTTTGTCCGAAGCGTGTAGTGTGTGCGTTGTATTTTCTCTGTCCGTGTGCCGCCGCTTGCTTTGTACTGCTCTAGCCGTTGAGCTAGACGTACCACTAGCAAAAGAAAGCTGTTGGTGTATAAAGGGGTTTCGAGGATCGACCACTTCTCGCTTTTGCTGCTGAAAATCGTCTGCTGGAGCCTGGATTCTTTCCCTTGTCACACCATTAGTGTAATAATTAAGTGTACATCTCTGAGGTTATGAAAAGGCTAAAGGATAACTCTGTATGTTCCACTTGAACGAATTGATAACTGTCAAAATGATAATAATGAATTAGTTTTATTATTCAATTATTTTATTGCAAAATCTTGTAACTAAATCTTTTATTAAACGTCAAAGGTAACGACTGCGATACTGTACGAATGGCTTTTGATACAGGATCTTATGAAAGACGCTCGCAAACGCTAGCCAGTGTTGGGACTCTGGCGGCTGCGCAGGAGGTTAAGCTGGTGACGACAGCTTAGGTGTTTCTGTGGCACAAAGTTGCCGTTTATAGGTTATATCTTTTCTGTTTCGTGTGCACGAATAGCTCAATGAATATCTCGCTC